CGTTAGAGATGAAATGTCGAGTGAATGTAACGCGATCTTCACTTATGCAAATGCAATTGTGGTTCAAGACGCAAACATATCGGGGATCTAGGTTAAGAATCAAGGCCTTATCGATGACAAGGATGACTGGCCCGGCATTTTACTTGGCAGCTCATGATGACCAGGATGAACGCGTCGCGACATGAAGTGAGGGGTGATTCCAATCTCAGCTGAAAGGCATTAACGTACCATTTATACATGACATAGTGGCTCAGCTGAGAAGGGATCTAGTGAAAAGCAAAGGTCAGTAGCCCATCATGACGGTTGAAGCCATCTCTATGAGACCCGTACCAAGTCTGACGTTCATGACCCAAACACTTTGACGTGAAAATTGATCTCCAGTTCCCGCATCGATTCTTCCAAAGGGATGAATCTGTTAACTATTGGAGACGGCGACGCCGGAAGATGACGTCTGAAACGAAGAAAAGAAGTCAAAGCAACCTTGTCAAGCTCAAATTCACGTCAGATGGATCCCTGTCTGCTTTACGCGTAGCTCATCTCCGGTATTAATGCTGCTCTTGGACTTCAACACCACAAGCGCAGCCTTGTGGTGCAAGTTCTCACCGAAAGGCAGTCGTGCACGTTCAGATGACTTTCTAAGTTCGTGTTTCTTCTTCATCTGCATTTGTCCAGGACGTCAATGTTGGATAAAAATATATATCGTGGCGTCTAAGTCGCGGGAAAATAAGATATGATATTAGGGTGTTTCAGGAGCCCGTGGGGAAAAAAGGACTGTCTCGGGATAAATGGTCAATACCAACGTAGCCTGAGGAGCACATGTAATATAATGTAATCATTGCTCGTAATAAGCCGCAACTGAGATTTCGCTGTGGTTGAAGTCATAAAATAAAATCGGTTGTTGGATCTGGGGAAATGAATGACAAGCGAGATTCGGCGCTGATCAAGTGTGCCCAACCCCCAGAGTCGTGGGCATCTACTGATACATATGCATGACATTCGGTTTAAGCAAGGTCAAGGAAGAATTCATGGGCTGATCCCCAGGGAAGATGCTACGAACAAGATGATGGCCTATCCTGGAATCGCAATACATTATCTCACGTTAAGGAGTAATAGTCTTAAGACTGTCTCTGTCAAAAAATTGTTATTAATCTGTACCAAAGTCCAAAGCCCTCTATACTCTTCTCCATTATCGCGTAGTTACAAACTCATAACCAATTGTTGCTGTAGGTGAGCCATCTCTGTAAGATAATCTGCTCGTCTGTATGTGTCTTGCTTGTGTGTTGAGCAGGTACCTAACTTAAAAAGCTCCGCTCCATAAAAAGAAAATACTGCTCCAACAAATCCCACGGCGTAGTAGTATAACTCCAAGAAGTATGGATAAAGTGTGCTCGTGATGAGACTAGTGATTATGATGTGTATGTATGCCGAAGCACCCAGGCAAGATGATGTCGAAGTTGATGAACCTTGAACCTGGACATCACATCTCGACAGCTGAATCGGGGTTACATTCTGTAAAGTAAGAGAATTGCAGAGCCAAGTTATGGGGAAAATTGAGTTGCTATTATTTGATTTGCTTCATAGTATCAGAATATCATTGCAGGCTTGAGAATGCAGCCATTTACACCCAGCTGGGTTCAACGAGCGGAGCAAAAGCTCAACCTTAGAAACCGGCTTCATGTATGTAACTGAGTACTCGAATCATAGCACAAGGTTTTGGCTACTTCCATCTTAACTTCTCGAAATAAGTGGAAACTTGACCTCGAGCTTCCTTTGTTCTACGTGGTGCGGGCTGAATACGAGGAACAAGACCATAAACGGGCCCAGGCGAGACGGACCGCGGGATGAGCTGTTGAAGCTGGAGAAGAAGACGGTGTTGAGCAAGCTGATTATCAAGTAACTTATGGTTGGTACCTTACTTGCCCTTGATGTATGCAGGGAACCAGAGGGAGGGTTTGAGTTGATGCGCCCAAGATAATAATCCTGATACGTACACAAGTGCATGGAAACGGCTCAACATTATCCGTCGGTTGCACCCATGTAATGCAGTTAGTTGGATTGGGATCTTGGACTGTCATCCATCCATAGGTGCACTATCATCGACGGCCTGACCGACAACTTGCTCAATGCTCACAACACCGTGACGCAGGTTGCCGTATCTCGATGTCATCAAGAAGAAGAAAAGCCAAAGCTGAGACCACCCACCTTCAGAGAACAACCCCCTCGCAAAGCCCACTTGTAAGATTACTGGTCAATGCCTCGCATCACATACCGGGCATTTTGTCCTTGCCTCGCAAGCATGTACTGTGCTGTAAAGACCTCCCTGATTAAGCTGATGTTCCTGTCAGCATGCGATACACGATATTGAGTTGATGTCCGTAATGACCGACTTTGAGATTATTGGCTTCAGGCACCAAATTCAATTCCCAGGTACGCGACGTCAGACGTACAGGGACCAGAGAGAGGGTCTCGGCTGGGCAGAACTTAGGTCGGACTAGCTTCAGACGCCTCGAAACAAGGGCCAAGGGTCAAGGGCACGAGAAAGGTCAAGAGACTTGATGGTGCGAGCACTAGCCGACGGCTTTCGGTTGAAGCATGATATCCAATCTCGAGAAAACAAGAGACATGAGAATGAGGGAAGGGAGAGTTGGTAGAGGAACAAGAGGCTTGTTTTCGTTTTGTTTTGTTTTGTTGGGCCAGGTAATGAATGGCTCGTCACCGTCATTCAATACCTTGATGTCACAAATGAGCTATAATCTATTGAACCGAAGGTCTAAATACTTGCCATTTTAAAGTTGATGGTCGTTGTAACTCTGTAAGTTCTCAGTTGCGGGATATTATTCTCTTGACCGGCTGATAGCGCCAATGTCGGGAATTAACTACTTACCTAGGTGCTGTAATGAGATCAAGAGCATCCGTCGGATGAGACACGAAATGGAAATACATAGATAGATGCAGCTGGAGTTGAAAGATGGAACACAAAACTGTATCCCGTACCGTACCTGCAGGAACGACAGCGCTATATTCAGGGGTACTGCAGTGGTACTCTGTGCTGCGCTCGATTCAGGCGCTACGTACCCTCATAATGGATCTTGATGCGTTCGAACCCATGCAAAGTCCCCCTTCCAGCCAAGGTTCTTTTTTCCCCTCGACTCCTTGCATTGGATCATATACAAGGTCAGGCAGGGCATGGATGATGGATGGGCGGGCATCTTGAGACTTGACAGATTCGACTGAAAAGTCTCACAAGATTCAATGCTCTAACACTTTTTCAGTTGAGAGGGCGCCCTATTTAGTCTAATTAATGGGTCGGGTCAGTGTTGTTATTGTTAGGTAGTGTTTACTTACTGGAGACGTTGAATTGACTGACTGTTTTTCCCTCTCCATTGGAAGATCCATGATTCGAGGGTCCCACACCTGCAGCCCAACCCAAGGTACAGTACCTGAGTACCTACTGGTACTTCTACCCTGGTCTCATAGTCTCTTAGAACGTCTCATCTCGTCCTGGCGCCCGAGTCTTTGAGTCTTGAGAGTCCCATCTGGGAAATTGATGAATGGCTGCCCTTCTCTCGGACCAGGGTGTTATACATCAGAATCGTCTGTTTATCCCGCATGAAATTAAGTACCTCAAACCTCTTTAGATCCGATTGACGCTTGTTTCTGCTTCCCTCCCGTCCACTAAATTTACTGGCTTACAAGGGGCATGTGGCTGCAAAGTTCCCCTTCAGACTGACTCCATCCCTCCACCTCCAAGTTCCAACCTCTCCGTCTGACTCTGATAGCGCGAGAGGCCCCGACTCAAGACACGGACCTCGCACCATTTTGCTAAACTCACCTAACGTTAGGGACCTGGCTTGTTTGGTTTGGTTTGGTGGTTGGCAGTTGTTCTGTTACCACATCCGCCGTTTAATTGAACCTCGTTCCCGATTGACTCTTTCCCTTCTTCCTCGCTCACCTGTTTCTGGCTGGCGACTTGATATTTCACGTCTCGTTCGACGTTGCGCGTCGCTACTATCGCATAGCATAGCATCGCCTTGCGTTGCGCGTTAGGTCGAACCGACGATCTCAACTCTCTTTTGCGCTCCATCGCGCGCCCCAACCTCCAGTCCAGTCAAGTTCCGTCTCGTCAAGCCCAATTGGATCCAGTCCTATCAAAAAAAGGGAGTTAATTAGCACCTGCAGGATCCAAGGCCCAAGACCAAGGCGCAGCGAAACACAGGGCATCAACACAACAACAAAAGAACAACCCATACCTGGATTCAGTTCAGTGCCATTCGCAGCCCAGCCTTGTTCGGCTGCCAACGCATCCAGCGTCGGCCGTCCTCCAATCCTGATCCGCCCTTCGCGGCCGTTTAGCTGCACCTCAGACCGCAGAACTCAGCTTTGTATTGGATCAGTCCCGTTCGCCCCGAAAATATAATCAGAAGCCAAAACAAGCGAGCAAGAAGCAAGCAGACGCAGCAGCAGAAGCAAGAAAGCGGATACGACCGATATCGAGTAATTCGCAATTCGTCGCGCGCGCACCATGAGATAGTCGAGACACGCACGAACTCAACTCTACTTGCTCTTCCCAACTCTTGCTCAAAATCACTTTTAGTACTCGTTCCTTGATTTGGAAACGGCTTCCTCCGTCTTCGTCGCTTACAACTGCTTCTCTAGCGCCGCGTGCATATTATCCCCGGTTCAGCGCTTCCCTAGACCGGGCTGTCTGAAACTGCCAGGTATTTCGACCTGCATATTCGCGTCCGCCGCCTGGCTTTTTTTTTCCCCTGAGCGCCACTGCCAGAAAACCTCAACTCTCGCGCACACCGTTGTATTGTGTGCTTTAAAACGCTCTGCCAAACGGTTCGATCCGTCAAATTTATTTTACGCGTCTGGGCGTGGAAGATGTCGTCGGCTGCCTTACAGACGGCCCCCCATCAACACACCGCTCTGGCCTCGTCCCCCTTGAGCACACCGTCGTCCCGCCAGTACAGGCCCTCGCACTCATCCCCTAACGGTAACGGCCAGGCGTACAATGCCCAGCAGATCTCGACCGCTTCTTCATCCTCGCGACGACCTCCTTCTCGAAAAACGAACGACAGCGCTCCCTCACCTTCTTACCATCTAGCTCCCGGCTTCGGTTCACCCGTCACCGCCTCAGCGCCTGACGACCAGGAACCTTCAGCCTCTGCCTCCGACTGGCAAGGCAACATGCCTCCCGTCGCTCCCCCAAGGACCTCGTCCAACCACCAAAGCGGTAGTTCGCGGAGGTCTCAGTATTCTAACGAAAAGTCGACCAACTCTCCCCGTCGAAACGAATCCACTCGAACTGGTTCGCGTGGTGATTCAGCAGCTGTCGAGAACGGTCACCGAAGCAGCAAGGCTGACACTGCTGCCCGAGCCAGTAGCCGAGACGGCAGGGCCGCAACCACTTCCATGCCAGTTCGATCCGCACATAGCACGCCCTCGAAACCCGTCCACGATGCCACTGACAGCTTGACAAAAGCAATTGCAGCTGCTCAAGATACCATCGACCGGGATCGCAATCATGCTGCAGCTCAGCACAATAACGTCGAGGATGCCGCAGCGCCGCCTCCTGTCGTCGCGACGGGTGATCACCATGAGGAACGACGGGGACAGCGAAGCCGACACGATCATAGTCGAAGCTACAAGGGCAATACCAAGTTCGGCGACTTTATTCTGGGTAACACCATCGGTGAGGGTGAATTTGGCAAAGTGAAGCTGGGCTGGAAACAGGACAGTAGCGTCCAGGTAAGCTAGCAATTAATTTTATTGGAGATGCTCGACTCACCATATCACAGGTTGCTATCAAGCTCATCAAGAGAGACAGTGTGGGTAGCAACCCCTCTCGTTTCGCCAAGATTTACCGCGAAGTTGCCATCCTTCGCGGAGTCCAACATCCTAATATTGTGCGTCTAATCGACAAGGTCGAGACAGACCGACACATTGGTATCATCCTCGAGTACGCGTCGGGTGGTGAACTTTTTGACTACATCCTGAACCACCGTTATCTCAAGGACAACGCAGCTCGTCGCTTGTTTGCCCAGCTCGTGTCTGGTGTTGGATATCTCCATAAGAAGGGAATCGTGCATCGGGATCTGAAACTGGAAAATCTGCTTCTCGATCGAAACCGCAACATTATCATTACCGATTTCGGCTTCGCCAACACCTTTGACCCCAATGAAGAATTGAGTAAGGAGGAAGAGCTTAATCTCACAGATAAGGAATTTGTGAAGCGAATGGGCTTAGACCGGGTCAAGATGAACGGATCCAGGAAGGGTGACCTCATGCAGACAAGTTGTGGTAGTCCTTGTTATGCTGCACCTGAACTGGTTGTTAGTGACTCTCT